CCCAGCCTTTGTAGCTAACCCTAAGAGGGAAGCCGCAAACCACTAGCCTCTTCTGAAAAAGAGGTAAGGGGACGTAGACAAGGGGCAGCGAAGGAGGCTATTGCATTCCTTAGGAGGGGCCAAACAGCTACTTTCTGCCTGCTGAGTCAGGTGAACCGTTCCATGGGGGCGGGGACCAGCATATGAGAAAAGGGCAAGGACGGAGGAGGTATTTATTTGTTCGCTTTCAAGACTAAATTTAGGGCCCTTCGTCTGCAGACCCATTGGCGGACTGTGTCTTGGGAACCCTCTTGGCCTCTGGAAGAGAAAAGAACGGGGGCCAGTTTTCCGCACCAAAAGGAACGGCCCGTCTGGGCTTCATCCCGTCTGTGTATTTCCTAGGCCCCAAACGATAGAGCCATATGGCTTCCGCAGTCTGGGGGAGTGCTCCCTTGTGGGGCCCACCGCCCCCAGCCCCAGCCCGGCCGCTCACGGACATCGACTTCTGCTCTGGGGCGCAGCTGCAAGAACTAACCCAGCTGATCCAGGAGCTGGGTGTGCAGGCGAGCTGGAGTGAAGGTCCCAAGCCAGGACCAGATCTCCTCCAGGCCAAGGACTTTGTTTTCTCTTTGCTTGGTAAGTAACCCTCCTAGCCTTCGGGAACTTGCAGCTCTCAGCTCCGCCTCACCCCGCCCCGGCTCTGGATCACGCCTTTACGATCCCTTCTCTTTCCTTAGGTCTCGTTCACCGCCGGGACCCTCGCTTTCCTCCTCAGGCAGAGCTCTTGCTGCTTCGTGGCGGGATTCGCGAGGGCTCCCTGGATCTGGGGCCTGCGCCTCTAGGTCCCTACGCTCGGGGACCTCACTACGACGCCGGCTTCACACTGCTGGTGCCCGTGCTTTCGCTAGATGGCACTGGGCAGGAGCTGCAACTGGACGTGGGATCCTGTTACGCATGGCTCTTCCTCCCAGAGCAGGTACGCGGAACCTCGGTCCGGGAGGCATGGCAGGATTGCCTAGGACCCCCAGTCCCAGGAGGACGTGATTCGATCCACCCAGCCCAAAGCAAAGAAACTCCCAAGGATCCGCAAATCTCCGTGGACCAGCTACACGTCACTGAGCCTGAGGCACACGAGTCTTTGGAAAACTCACCTAGTAATGTTTCAGTGCCAGAGCTGCCTCAACAAGACGTAACCGATGTTGACTTTCCCTCACCACTGAAAAAAACGAATGGTGACGTCACCAAAGCAGCCGAAGTTAGCCCAGTGCCACAGCCGTCGGAGGCTCCGGAGGCATGGCCCACATTGTGCCCCGCCCAGGTGGCTGCCTGGTTCTTTGCTTCACTGGCTGCAGTCGCTGAGTCCCTGTTTCCGGTCCCGGGTGCCCCGCGCTTGGTCCACGCAGCCCGCCACGCGGGGGTCACCACCATCCTTGTGGCTACGCCCGGACCCCCGCGCCGCCTCTTGCTTTTCGACTTGATCCCCGTGGTGTCCGTGGCCGGCTGGCCCCAGGGGGCTCGGAGCCACTCGTGGGCCGGCCCGCTGGCCTCGGAGTCGTCTTCCTTCTACCTGGTGCCCGGCGGCGGCGGCACAGAGCGGCCGGACGCCTCCGGCTGGCAGCTCTGCTTCGCCCGCCAAGAGCTGGCGCTCAAGACGCGCATACCCGTTCCCCTGCTGCAAGCGCACGCGGCGGCCCAGGCGCTGCTGCGCCCGCTGGTGGCCGGGACTGGGGTCGCGGCGCCCTACCTCCTGCGGACGTTGCTCTACTGGGCGTGCGAGCGGCTGCCCGCGCTCTATCTGGCGAGACCCGAGAATGCGGGCGCCTGCTGCCTCGGGCTGCTGGATGAGCTGGGCCGGGTGCTCGAGGCCGGGACGCTGCCCCACTATTTTCTGAGTGGCCAAAAGCTCCGTGCGGGGGACGGCGCCGCTTCGCTGCTCGGGGCGTTGGCTCTGCTTCGCAGGGACCCTGCCCGCGCCCTGCGCGCCGCTGTGGAAGAGGCCAAGGCTGCACGCAAGGGGGGCGGCTTAGCCGGCGTGGGAGGCGGGGCCCATTAAAGACGCTGTTCCTACTAACCTGGAATGTGCTTCTGCTGGCCAGCGGGATGTGGAGGGGACTGCTCTCCCCTCACCTGGGAGACAGGCTGAGCGCTTTGGGCCCGAAGAGCCCGTTCTAGAAGGCCTCCTCGCCGGTTCCTCCGCTTCCTCCCACCCTCCTCCCGCCCCATCCCTGGCACAGGTCGTTCCATTCTGGCCTCTCCACTTTCCAAATCTGTGGCCAGCACCYCKCCCACTCCGGTGCAGCCYCTGGCATCCATCTCYCGCCWGTTCTTATGGTCTTTTCTCTTAGGAGTCAATAGGGRTGGGGGTAATATATTTGCTGAAARAACGTGTAAAGGAGAAAGGTATGGAGACCAGGGACTGACCAATTTGTCTCACACAAAAGCAGAGACATTAAGGAGGCCGGATTTCACCCCAGGCTAGACCTCACCACCACCGCTATCTCTTCAGTTATTCCCCCCACCTTCCTCRTCCAGTTCTGTCCTCCATCCCGGGCAGTAGGGTCCCTTTCTCCATTCTCGGGGCATCCGCCATTCCATCTATCTAAGCCCAACCTCTCCCCCCATCCAGAGTTCCATTCAGTGGAGTCGCCTCCTTGTCCCTCCTTCTCTGAACCCCGAGACATGCGGCCTTGCCTCGGCTCCGCCTGTCTCTAAGACCTTCGCCACTCCCTGCCTCCAAGGAACCCCGGGGTTCCGCCCGCCCAGCTTCACCCCCGCCACTCTTTCCCGGCGTCTCCGCCCCCTGCCCCGCCCCCGGGCCGGCTCTCGGAGGAGAGGGGAGCCGCTGTCGCCGCCGCCGCCTCAGCTTCCCACAGCCGCTACCGCTGCCGCCGCTGCCGCCGCTCCGCTTGGCCCAGCCGCCAGGCCCAGTGCTCACTTCGCCAGACCAGGGCGCTCTGCGGAGACACCCTCAATCCTTCCTGGGGTCCGGGACGCCTAGCCGGGCGTGGGGGGAAGCTCCGCTTGCGGGGTACAGGGAGGGAGGAGCCTGGAACCGGAGCCAGCGCCAGCCGACCCCGGATCGACAAGACAGGACAGGTTGAGGGGCGTCGGGGAAGGAAGAGGGGGTGCTATAGGCAGTCCCGGGGAGGACAAGGAAGCCCTGTCGCAGAAAGCTCTGATGCGCTCTGACTTACAGCGGGTCTGTTCACATTTGGGGACCCGTGACAACGTGGGTGCACTCCTCTCTCGGGGGGCTGGTTGGATTGGAGGGCGTGGGATCTAAACAGCACCAGCTGTCCGCGAGGAAATTAGGGGCTGCCAGAAGAAAACAAAAAAGCCAAAAACCTATGCTCCTTATTCCGAGGTGACAGAGGGCCCTCCAGACAACCACCTGGTGTAACCACTAGGAAGGGCGGATTTGGAGGTGACTTCAAAAGGAGTGGATGGTAACAAGGTGAGGAAAGGGGCTCAGCAGCTGGAATGCTGTGCCACTAGAAATGGGGGTGACTTGGTAAAAAGTGGTATCGTCCAGAGACAGGGTCTGGGAACCTCTTCTTGCTGATTGGCGACAGTCTGGATATTTCAAGGCATAGTTTTTTGGGGATTTCAGTGAAAAAAAGTGGGGGATTCTTCACTTAGAGGGCGGCAAAGGAAAAGACACCAAGGTTGGGTTCTTCCTAGACACTGGCAACACCCCATCAGGGGTGGGGTGAGCTAATATCCCCAAAGCTAAGGACCCACACCCTTAAAATTACAAGAGTGGCTTTGGCAGGAGTGCAGGTCCCGGAAATAGGGTGGAAAGGTGCCTGGGGATATTGGAACCACATCCTGGAAAATTTGAGGGTCTTGGCTTTGGGATAGTGTTAGTGGGGGACAGGGACACTGGAGATCAGAGAAGGGGGAGTTTTCTGTAGGGGGCAAAGGTCGAGGGTGGGGTCAACTGAGCGGTACATAGGCTGCTGGGTCTGGCGAAGCTAGCAAGAGGCCCAAGGGTGGGAGCTGGTGCCTGGGGTGGGGGTCGTCTAGGGCTTATCCTCAGGTCCTGTGGGTGAGGCGGCGAGTCGGACCGGAGAGTCAAGAGCATGTCCTGGTGAGCTAGCGGGCTTCTCGGGGGGGGGGGGGGCAGCGCGCTCCGGGAGCCTGCCGGTTTTGGGGTGTCTCCTCCCGGGGCGCCATGGCGGCACTGGCCAGCAGCCTGATCCGGCAGAAGCGGGAGGTCCACGAGCCCGGGGGCAGCCGGCCCGTGTCGGCGCAGCGGCGCGTGTGTCCCCGCGGCACCAAGTCCCTTTGCCAGAAGCAGCTCCTCATCCTGCTGTCCAAGGTGCGACTGTGCGGGGGGCGGCCCGCGCGGCCGGACCGCTGCCCGGGTGAGTGGCTGGGGCGGGGTCTCCGGGCCGGGGGTCTCTCTGCCTGGGAGGTTGAGGCCAGGGACTCGGAAGAGCGGGGCCCGACTGACGGGGGCTCCCCGAAAGTGAAAGGGGGTGGGCCTGGACCACAAACTCTCGGCCAGACTATGCCTCAGTTTCCCTTCTCTCTCGCCCGTAACCCCGAGTCTCCTTGCTTTCGAGGGCAAGGGGAAGGCTTGAGGGGCTAAGCCTGGTGCCCCGAAGCCTGGCAGCTCCCACTCGGCCCCCCTCCCAACACAGGAGTCCCCACCCCCACCATCCTCTGCCTACGTGCCGTCTCTCGCGATTCTTTCAATGCCGAGTGGAGGGGCCTGGGGGTTCCGGACGCCTGGGTCACCCCGAGGGTTTCTGTGGCTCCGGCAGCCCCGCCCCCGCCCCGGTTCTCCCGCTCCTCCGAGCCTTGGATCCGTTCCTCCTCGCCGAGCTTGCCTGGCTCGGTACCAATCTCCCCAAGCTCTCCCCCGGGTGTCCTTGCAGCTACCTCGCCAGTCCGCCCCTCTGTGCGCCCTCCTCCCGTGACCTGCACTTCAAGAAGGGAGCTGGGCACTCCCCCATGACCGCCTACGCGACTCAGAAATCGGGTCCCACGGGCTCAGGGGACCCTCTGCCGCGAGGAACTCAGACACACTAAACGGCTGGATACCCGCACGGAGACTGGGGGTCGTACCATCTACGAGGGGGTACCGGGAACTCGGCCACAAGCGCCGGGGGAGGAGAGTTGTGAGGGTTAGCGTGTGGTCCCCGTACAGGTGCGACAGGCGGGAAGTCCCTCTGGCCTCACTCCCGTCCGCTCTCAGCTCCCCTAGGGGGAGACCCCCCCCACCCCCCGCTGGCGTCCTCCTCCCCCCGCCGCCGGCCCTCCGCAGTGGTACGGTCCGCAGCCCACCCTTTGGGTGGGACCCAGCCCCCACGTGAGTCAGCCTGCCTCACCAGCTCCCTGGCCCCCTCCCCCATTTCCTTGGTTTAGTACCGAATATCCCCCATCCCAGGCGGGTTACCTGGCTGAAGGGGAGAGGCTGAGCCTCAAGGAGGGCTGGGCCCCCGCGAGCCAGCAGACAGACAGACAGACAGACAGACAGATGGGTCAGTGTCAGAGAGGCCGGCGCTGGGCCAAGGCGAGGCCCGCGCGAAGCGAGCGTCAGCCGCAGCAGCAGGTGCTGAGTCAGCGTCAGGCCCAGTCCCACCCCCACTCCTGAGGGGGCGCCCCTACCCTGGGGTCACCTTAATGCCCCCCACATTCGCAAACACACTGCCCCTTCAGCAGCTCTGCCTGTCTCCCTTTGTCCTCTGCGTTTCCATGTATCTCTCCCCTTCCTCTTCCTTCTTCTCCCCTCCCCCCATTCTGGTTGAGCTGTAGAGCAGGAATTAAGCCTTTAAATACATTTCAATCAATTAAACTGAAAGCTG